CATTGTTAATGCATTGAAGTCATGATATATATCATATACCCGTGCAGATTCCCATATGGGAAAGACCTGAATCCTGTTTCCGGTCTACAGTTCTACCTACTCCTTCCAAATCGGGGACCTAATTGGCCAGTTTGGATAATAATCAATTTGTTATCCTGATTCCCTCCACGATGGGTGGGGTTGGAGGGGAGAGATTTGATCAGCCTACAGAAACACTGAAGTTCAATTGCCAACATCAGAGACCCAGTTATAAGACAGAAGATATCTGACTGGACAGTAGGAGAAGTGAAAAGGACCACAGCCAATCAAAAATGGATCCTTGGTCAAAATATCACGGAATCTGCAAAAGAGGCAAACACAACTTTATGTTTTATCAGTCAAAATATACTTCCAAAATCACTTTTAATTCAATCTTGATCAGATCCCTCTTGAGTACTGTATCCTGTTTTGGGCACCAGTCTGGTTTTGGTTTGGTTTTTTTTTTTAGAAAACTTCAGGAATTCAGGAATAGGTGTTGAAAAAGGCAATGAGGTGCTTCAGAAGATTGAAAGAACCAAGTTAGAGGGGGATGTTAGAATGGGTACATTTAGTTTTTCCTTATTATTTTATTGGGTGGGTGCAAAAGTAACAATAGTAATAAGCACTTAGACTTATATACCACTTCATAGTGCTTTACAGCTGAGGTGGCAGCCAGGATCAACGCAGCGTGGGGCAAATGGAAGTCCCTCACGGGTGTCCTCTGTGACAAGAAGATGCCGATGCGCCTGAAGGCGAAAATCTATAACTCTGTGGTGCGCCCCGTGGCCATATACGGCGCAAAGTGCTGGCCGACGACCAAAGAAGTCGAAAGCAGACTCCAGACAATGGAGATGCGAATGCTCCGATGGTCGGTAGGCCTCACCCTACTCGATCGCGTCAGGAATGAAGAAGTGCGCAGACGGTTCAACGTCGTGCCCATCCCCACGGTCATGAGGCAGTCCCGGCTACGATGGTTTGGCCATGTGAGTCGCGCCAAGGAAGAATCCATCATCAAATCTGCGATGAAGGTGATTGTCGGAGGAGCGAGACCGCGTGGTAGACCTAAGCAACGCTGGATGGACACGATCAAGGCCGATCTAGAGATCGCGAAGGCAGACCCGACATACGTGGCAGACAGAGAGGCGTGGAAGCAGTACTCAAGGACATTAGCGGACCTCGCCAGAGCGCGAGACAAACGCTGAAGAAAAAGAAGAAGAAGAAGTGCTTTACAGCCATCTAAGTGGTTTATAGAGTCAGCATATTGCCCCCAACAATCTGGGTTCTCCTTTTACTGACCTCAGAAGGCTGAGTCAGCCCTCAGGTCAGGATCAAACTCTGGGCAGTGGGAATGCAGTTAGCCTGCAAAGAAAGTATGAGCAAACACACAGGGAATATAGTCATAGATACATGCAGTGGTTGGGCTGAAACCCGTTTAACAACCGGTTCTGTGAGTGTGCACAGCGTTCAAAAAGCACCAATTGGAACCTCTACAGGGCAGCCCCGGTAAGTGAAACAGCTGAGGCATGTGAAAACTACTGTGCCGCGTGAATGAGCTGAAAAAGACAGAAATATAGGACAGGATAGGGCGTGGGCGGGGCCAGCTGATCATTGGATACATCCAGTGGTTGCCAACTGGTGGGCTGTGAGAAAATTTTGGTGGTCTGCAGAGAAATGTCCCCCCCAAAGCACCCCCGCAAAGCCAGCCTTGTGACTACTGCAGCTCTGGAATATGGGACCAACTTTCCCACCAACGTCAGCAAGCCACCGTCAGTCAAAATTCATATTAGTGGTCCGCCGGATTTAAAATTATGAGTTTGGTGGTCCCTGAGGTCCAAAAGGTTGGCGACCCCTGGGATACATGTGATTGATAGCATTTTTCAGGTGTCCAAAGGTATGACTCAGAAGATCCAAAATCAGGGTTTGTCAAACTCAAGCCATTTTAATTCCCAACCCGTGTGGAATTCTGGGAATTGAAGACCACACAATTTAAACTTGCTGAGGTTGGGAAAAACTGGATTCAAATAAAAGAAGGCAGATTCCAATTGAGCAGTAGGGAAAAAAAGTTCCTAAGGGTCAGTGGACTTTAGTAGTGGAAATGAGCCTTGAACTGAGGTAGCTGCCTGGTGGAGTACTTATACTTGGATTTCTGAGCCCTGAACAGGACTTCATGGCTGAACTAATCCTCTTCCGTTATAGGCTTCTGGAAGTTTCAAATTTGCAGCCTCTTGGGTGATTGCAAGAGATCCGGCACAGGCACGATCTGTTCTCCCTTGGAATAAATCCTAGCCTAGATGGACCAGTGGCTAATCCAGTTCTGTTTCTTGCACACTGCTTGTCTGAAAAGCCAAATCGTTGCTTCCTTCCTGGCTTGCAGAAATTCTTAGCCTGTGTGGTTCAATTTCAGTGCCAGATGATGGTGCAGCTCTTGAGTCCTCAGCTACATTGATGGAGGAACTTTTGTCTGGAAGGAAACGGCATATTGTGGCCTTATTCAGTGCTGGTTTTTGCGCTTTTCTCTCCCCTTTCAGGACAGCAGCCATCCTGAGACCCTGATCAACTTTGTCGTCCTCTCACAACACCTGGGGAAAACTCCAGAGGTAGGCACTGCTTGTTTGCATTTATTGTGTGTGTGTGGGGAAGCATTTCAACTCTTGACCATAGAGGTAGTCCTTGCCTTACAACCGGTTGCTTAGCAACCAAAGTTACAGTGGGGGCCCCAAAGGATATTTACAATCTGATTCCCAAGTTCCGACAACCACGAACCACCCCTGTGGCAACAACATGGCCACATTCGCAGTGTCCCGCACTCACAACTTGTAATTTATGACATTTTTACCAGAAACCAGCATTTACTCTTGGTTTCTGGCAAAACCTCATAGTGAACAATGGATTCCCTTGATAACCTGCCACAAAAACAGTCATATGATGAGGTCGGTCACGTAATGACCTTTATGACTGTCACGACTTACGACTACAATTGCCAGGGATTACAGGTAGTCCTCGACTTACAACAGCTCATTTAGTAACTATTCAAAGACAATGGCCCTGGAAAAAAGTGACTGTTTTTCCCATTTACAGCCATTGTAGCATCCCCGTGGTTGTGTGATCAAAATTCAGATGCATATTCAAATTCAGGTTCATATTTATGACGGTTGCAATGTCCTGGGGTCATGTGATCCCCTTTTGTGACCTTCTGACAGGCAAAGTCAATGGGGAATCCAGATTCACTTAACAACCGTGTAACTCACTTAACAAACTCAATGATTCACTTAACACCTGTGGCAAGAAAAATCGTAAAAGTGGAGCAAAGCTCACTTAGCGCATATTTCAATTAGCAACATAAATTTTGGGCTCCATTATGGTGGTAATTCAAGGACTACCTATACTTGTACCTACAGCCATCTCTTTTTGGCTAGCATAAAGAATTCAAGGAGCTTAAATAATCTTTCCCCTCTGACCAACCATTTCAGGAAAGTTTCCCATCTCCTTGGACCGAGCGAGGATGGTCTACTCCCAGTTCCCAGTTCTCTGTTTTATACCGCAAAATAATGTTTGTGATTGAAAACGAAACTGAGTTCTGCAAGAAAAAAAGCCAAAGAAAATGGGAATACATTAGAAAAACTCCTTCAGCTCCAGATGAGAAATTTTAGCCATGCAGAATTTGCAGGTGCAACCTTGTTAGTTTCGAATCGTTCCTGTCGGATAGATCTGTCGTCTATCCCCCAAATGTTACATGTGGCTTTAATCCCTACTTAGATAAGAGGAGATGAATGTTCTGATGTAAAGTAAGCCAGGATTCTAAATCTCCCCTTCAATCAGTGAGTTATTTCTGCCTCTTCGGGATAACTATAAGCCTCTTTGGCTGTGCCCCCCAAATTCTCTCCCACCCCAAATGGGTGAATCCAACATATTTTCACCTTTTTCAGGGACTGAAGAGCAGGGCAAAACCCCTCTTAAAAATCCAACAAAACAGATTATTTTTTCCATGAGAGACAGGACAAGTATTTAAACCAAAACAGAGGTTAAATACCATTTTCCCTTTTAAAACCTCCTCCCAAATATGCAAATTGGGTGAAGAATTTCAAGGATCTGGATGTTCCTGCGACCAGAACACCACCTTCCCCAGATAGAGCCAAAAAATAAAATCCAGCCTCCTCCTTACATTCTTGTTAACCCACCTAGCACCTGATGGGCACACAGATCAAGCCAAGAGCTCTCTCTCTCTATCCAGGTATCTTTCCAATCCTATCGTGCCGTGAGTCACTCACCTGTATGACTTCAAGCCAGTGTTTTTCAACCTTGGCAACTTTAAAAGAGGAGTGGACTTCAAATACCAGAATCCCTTGCTGGCTGGGGATTCTGGGAGTTGCGGCCCACTCCTCTTAAAGTTGCCAAGGTTGAAAGGCATTGTGCTATCTGAAGATAGCACACTTATCCAGGTTGCTTTAGCGCAGGGGTCTCCAACCTTGGCAACTTTAAGATTTGTGGACTTCATCTCCCAGAGTTCCCATACTCAGGGGAGTTGAAGTCCACAAATCTTAAAAGTTGCCAAGGTTGGAGACCCCTGCTTTAGTGGATTCCTTCACTCAGCGATGAAATTACTAAGTCATTTGACTCTTCCCAAGCCTGGAATTCTCAGACAGAAGAGTAACTCATTAGGGATAATTTATTGCAGGTCTGTCCTTGATGAGTTTGGCTCCTCTCCCCAGTGCCATTTTTGGCAGGAGAGGGAAAGTGGGAACTGACCACTTGTTGGAGCCTGGGCCACTTCTTTCTCCCTTGACCCCTCTGACCCCTGGCCGCAACAAGGCACGCATGCGGCCAGCTGTCGCAAAGGAAATGGCTGGGGAAGTTTTTCTTTGCTGTTCCATCGATGGTCCTTCCAGCTTCCTCAGCTGGGGAGCCCATCTCCACTCCTAGCCCTCTTCCCAATCCATGTGTGTATTTCGGGGCAGTTCTCCTGACCTCCTTTCCTCTCGTGGCCACGGAGTCCCCTCCTCTGCCGTGGGAAAGGTCAGAGGTCGCCCAGTTCTCAATCAGCCTCCTGCTGACATGGAAGAATGGCTAGCTGGCTTTTCCCATTCCAGCGGCCTTTTTTTTTTCCCCTTTGGGAGCGGAATTGGCTCTTCTCCTTTTCCACAGGGGATTTTCTTTCCCATTGTTTTTGTTCTTCATCGCTTGGGTTCTGTCCCTTCTTCCTCCTTTTAGGTGACCAACCGTTACCTGTCGCAGCTCAAGGATGCCCATAAAAGCCATCCGTTCATAAAGGAGTACCAAGTTAAGGTAAAGCATCTCTACTCTTTGGCTTTGGCTTCTGAGGGGAAGGGAAGGGGAAAGGAGGGAGGGAGGGAGGATTTCTTTTTTTTTAAAAAAAAAATGCATTTTTGTTGTTCGTCAAGCATTGCAAATTGTGGTTAAATCCTCCATATAGTGTCATAAAATAAGTGTTTTCATCAGATTCAAGTATGGGAATAAATGATTTTTATTCTTTTTACAACCCTTTAATCCACGGGTGTCAAACTTGTGGCATCATGTTGCCGTCATGTGACATATCACAACGTTTTCCCCCTTCGCAGAGCTGGGGTTGCCATGGCCTGCTCGTAAGGCATCCGGCCCGCGGGCCACCAGTTTGACACCCCTGCTTTAATAGAATAGAATTAGAATTAGAATAGAATAGAATAGAATAGAATAGAATAGAAGAATAGAATAGAATAGAATAGAATAGAATAGAATAGAATAGAATAGAATAGAATAGAA